CTTGCCTGAGGGAGCAGAGAGCAGGGTGCTAGAAACACCTACAGAGTCACTGTCATTTTTTGTGGAAATAAACAGTATTTGTGTTTCCAAGGCCTTTTTCTATTGGGACTCTCTTTCTTTGACAATGGTGCTTTGCTGACTGTTAGGGGCTAGAAGGAAGTTCTCCTTCAAAGAATAGCCTGACATTTACAAGAAACAGCCCCCTGGAAGACATCCTGCCTGGGAGACATCCTGCGGCCACCTATCTCCCTGAAACATCCTGCGGTTATCTCACCTTGTGCAGACACCCAGCAACTGACAATAAGAGAGCTTTCCTATCCCCAGCATATAAATACCCCTGTGTGAACAATAAAAATTTGCAGCTTGGTCAGAACTCCTGTCTTGCTGTCTTCCCTCATGTCTCTTCTCCCTTCATTCCTCCCCACCTAGGTTCGAGGTCCTCGTTGATGTGTCCTGCCGGTCGGGACAGCTGACCATGAAGGGAATGAGTTCTTAGACTGCTTGTGTGTGTGTGGGTGGGTGGGTGTATGTTGAGGGCAGAGGAAGGTACTGGGGATTTAAATCGGGAGCATTCTATAGTTGTTCTACTATACCTGAACAAGATCCCTGTATGTGTTTTTTAAATTTTACTGTGAGACAGGGTCTCTCTAAAATGCTCAGGCTGGCCTTGAGCTTGCGATCCACCAGTTTTAGTCCCCTGAGTCACTTGGTTTACAGGCATGTACCACTGCACCCAGGCATGGACCACTGCACCCAGTAATGACCTTTTAGAGAGAGCTAATTCTTATGGATAGTTAGCCAAACCTCCAAGTTGTTCACCATGTGCAAATTAAACAATATCATTTCCATACCACCACTATCCTCCCTATTGTGCTCCTACCATCCAAGGTCAGTCTTTGTTTGATCTAATCACAGCATGTTGGGTACCAGAATACCAGGGATGGTTCACGCCCCCTAAAGCTAACTAAATTATAACATACTAACCCTAAATTCACTTATGCTGTCTCATCTTCCTGCACAAATACAAGAAAGTCTCTTTGCCATGTTCTCCATCACCTTCCACATGCTCATCTCCTGACCAACCCCGAAGCTTCCCAAATGGCTCTGCACTTCTGCTGATGGAAAACTGTAGATCTCTGTGACAGTCCATGTGTTTATGTGAGTCTCCCATACCTGATTAAAACAAGCCCAAGGCACTCTCACTACAATGTCAAACATATACAGCTTCTCAAA